AGTTGTATAAAAGAGGTCATCTGGAAATGCACAAGCTCTGCATTGAAGAAGAGGAATCAAAGCATCTCTTGGAGGCCATCCACGGAGAAGAGTGTGGAGCACACATGAATGGTGTGATGCTAGCTCGGAAGATCCTCTGACAAGGCTATTATTGGTCAACTATGGAGGAGGATTGTATTGGTTTTGTACAGCGATGCCATAAATGCCAAATCCATGCCAATTGTATGAACATCCTGCCGTCAAAACTCTATAACATGACTTCGCCATGACCTTTCTTAGTCTGGGGAATCGACGTTATTGGTGCAGTCTCGCCAAAGGGTTCAAATGGACATGAGTTCATCTTCGTGGCGATTAACTATTTTACAAAGTGGGTGGAAGCTCAGTCCTATTCTGTGTTGAAAGCATCGCGTGTGGCCAAGTTGATCAGAAACAACATCATTTGTCGGTATCGGGTTCCGAATGAGATCGTTTCATACAATTGTTCGCGCTTTAAGAAAGAGGTGGTGGATATGCTTGAGAAATATAACGTGGCTTTTCACAAGTCATCAACATATAGACCATAGACCAACGGAGCTGTTGAGGTTGCTAACAAGAATGTCAAGAACATCTTGCGGAAGATAGTGGAAACTTATGGGGATTGGCTAGATAAACTGTAGTTCGCACTCTGGGGCAACAGAATGTTAATTTGGACATCCATGGGTGCGACCCCCTATTCTCTGGTGTATAGGATGGAAGCCATTTTGCCAATTGAAATCGAAGTACCGTCGCTGAGAATTATGGTCGAATGTCAGACAGCGGAGGTGGATTGGCAGCAGAACAAATTCGAAGAATTGATGTTATTTGACGAGAGAAGGTTGAAGGCATTGTATCACATTCAGGGGTACCAGCGTAGAATTACTAAGGCTTTTAATAAGAAAGTCAAATCTAGAAATCTTAAGGAAGGAGATATGGTGCTTAAAGACAACTGAGCTCCCATCCTTGACCCTATAGGCAAGTTCAGACCCAATTAGACTGGCCCTTACATCATCAAATCTATCTAGTCAGGAGAGGCGATTATCTTTATGGACCTAGATGGCTTGGAGTTTTCACAGCCAATCAATATAGACAAGTTGAAGAAATACTATCCCTGAGAGGCTTGCTAGGCCGAAAACCCGTAAGGGCTACCTAGGAAAAAGTTAGAGCATGAAAAATTAGAAATAAAGAAAAATAGAGCTCGCAAGGTTGAAAATCTAGAAGGGCAACTTTGGCAAAAGTTAGAGCATAAAAGGAAAGTGTTAATACTCGAGTGAACCCGAACCGAACTACGTAAGGCTTGATTCCTATCTTTGGCATATGTAGGCAACTTCATCTTAAAGTTCGACCGTAACCATCTCCAACTCCACTGTCTTATCCATTTTGTTTGATCAGGCTATCTTTGTCCATCGTCTGTTAGCTAGGTTGTGTTATCTTCATTTTTGGCAGAAGGGCCAGTTGCAATGGAGAGCAATGATGGTGAATGCAGCTGTGGGCAGTTGTTGGTCTTTTGATTCAGGGTTGTATGTCTTGAGGATTGATTCCATGCGTGTCAGGCAGTGATCATATTTGAAAATTGTTTTGAAAAGTTTTAATGAATTGATTTTCTCAAAATTTTACCTTCTACAATTTAGACCATTTTTGGGACCAAAAGAAAAATTTTTAGTGCTCACAACTTTAATTTCATTGATTTTAACACAAGTACATTCTCCAACTCTCTAATTTAACTCAAAGTTCCTTTTACGTCATAAAACTTGAAAAGAAAAGTCAAAGCAATAGACTGAGAGAATAGATAAGTCAGGTGGTCCTGTGTCCTCTGCTCATGCTTGTGGAAGTCTCTGTGGCCAAAGTTGGCCAAAATCGTGCTTCGTCCTCAAGCCAAGTCAAGCACTCGTCGAAAAGGGCATAACTAAATCCAATCATAGGGGTTAGAAGCTCTCTCGTCCTCCAAGCAGTGAGGTATCGAGTCAGGTTTGAAGCACGAATTGGGAATGGAGCCGGGTATTCCACCCCCTCCTCTGGACGTGTCTGATCATGTCCAAATTGGTGTCTGAACCTGAACAGAAAATACAACACATAATCCGTGAGGCAAATCAACTATAAACCCGGTTGTCAGGACATGTTGTAGCTCATCTCAGCCAAATTAAGCCATGGGCAATGCCAGGCAATGTTAGCCACAGATCTACGGCACATCCAGTCACACCACCAGCCCTCTGAGGAAAAGTCCACTAGCAGCTAGCAGAAGAAGTAAGCTCGGGCTAAATACTTAGGGCAGGGGTCCACCACTTTCAGTTTATCCATTAGCCACACTTGGGAAGGGATGAAAAATAAGAGAGATTAAAAAATAGAGTGATGTACGTTGAGAGAAAAGTAGAGAAAGGGGCTTGAGAGAAAAATAGAGAGTGAGTGCCTGAGTGATGTGAGAATCATAAATAAGAAAGGATGGGAAACAATACCTGGAGAAGCAGTGGGCTCCTCACGAACCAAGTAGTCTCTCGCCAATGAAAAGCATCCAAACCTATCAAGGTTTCAGCCAGTGCAAAACCAATGCGGCTCTTACCCTCTTTCAGGCATTGGGCCACTTCGATCAACCTAATGCTAGCTCCACTGCAACTAGGGGCAAGAATAAAGTGTGCAAGCATACATATACAGAGGGCATGTTGCCGATAACCTCACTAGAGAAGGCCACCTATGTCGCCGACATCGGAAAACCGATGAATCAAGCCAGGTATATCTAGCTCTCCGTCATGAGCCAATGATCAAGCTTCGTGTAAAGTAAGCCCACACATTCGTTCCAAAGCTCATGCATGGCCAAAACCGGACTGGGGCATGATCTCCTCATCGTGTCGGGATTCCATCAATGCTTGAAACTCTTCAAGTGTCAAACACATTTCTTGTGCTTCGAAGTGAAATACATGCGTAACCGGGTTCCAACATCGTACCGCAGCATGAAGGAACAAAAAACAAAGTAAAGTATGGCTCAACAGGAAAAGTGCGTTTATGCTGAAATCTCAAAAATTTCCCTTTTCCATGCCGTCCAGAGTGGTTATCTAATCCTTGAGCCTCTCAGCAAGAAGTATCTCCATTTTCAGAAGAAACAACAGGAGAAATGAGGTTCTATCGAAGAAACAACGAAGAAAGGCATTTTATGGAGGATAAGGCTGTGTGAGTGGATGCCAACTGTCAGTTAGCTGTCCAGTGACAACACCTGGCTGGCCGACCACTTTTGTTAGCTTTGGCAATTGGGTAGTGTGGTTTTGTTTCCGGTCTTTGTGCTTTGAGGTCTTGTTTTGAGTCTTTTGTTTTTAGCAAATGTAAATAGTTGTGTTTAGGTTGTTTTTACTTTTATTTCCATTTATCGAGTTGTATTTTGTATTTTAGTCAGTTGTCGGCTCAATATCTGGTTACGAACATTATTCCAATGCAGCGTTTTTAGTTTCAAATTCAGTTCCATTTTTTTTTTTATGCAAGTGTGATGCCATGCTCGTGATGCAAAACAAAACTCCTTTCATAAAACTGTAGGGTTTTACCCCGATCATAGTTTTTACAGAAGAGGGAATACAAGTCTTTTCGAAGATAAAAAAAAAAAAAAAAAAACAAAGTAAAGACCTAGGTCATAATGCAAGTCTTGGAAGAAAGTTTCTGAAATGTTATGTTTTGAATGAATGAATGATTGTCGAAGTTTCTGGAATGTATTCATGGCATCCTTAGCATCATATGATATGCGTCCCAATTATGGATCATTAAAAACGTCTCTATGCACAAGAATCATCGGAATACCTTTTGGCCGTCCCTTTATAGGTCATCGAAATGCCATCATGGCAGCCCCTTTGTGGGTCATCAGAAACATCTTTGTGCAGATGAGTTATCGGAATGCCCTTTACGATCGTCCCTATATGGGTCATCAGATTTGTTAACGCTAATGAATGTGCCACGTACTATGATGAGAAATATACGAACTTTGAATACGAATGCAACTATGTGTATAAATCTGTTTTTTATATGAAATCTGATTATGCACATGTTTTTATTTCTGATAAAAATCTACTTCTGATATACACTCTGATTTCTGACTCTGTGATGGACATTATTCATTAAAACCCTTTACTTCTTTATTATTCACTGAGCACTAGTTCACTATTTGTTATTATGTATGTAGGTGAGCAAGCACGTGACCAAGCCTAGAGTTGATGGCCTAAGATTCTATTTTGTCGACCAACCATTGTGCCTCTAAGGAGGTTCCCTTTGTGAGCAAGTCAAGTCTAAATGGCATATGTTTAAGATCTTCTCTACTTGAAGTGTGAACAAGTTTTATGTTATGTATATATTGGGCTAAGTCCCTTTTGGCTACTTTGTATTGGATGCGACGTAAGACCTGCATTATGACATCACGTATATTTGTAAAAAGTTTAAAATTTTTGTCCCATATATGTCTATACAGTTCTATAGACTATGTATATTTCATATATTTGCTTCCGCAGCCCCTAATTATATGTTATTCCACTAAGAGGCCTTTGGTAATCCAAGGATTACTGGCTTGTTACGACGCTAAACCTATAGGGGCGGGTTTGGGTTGTGACAGAGTGATATCAGAGCACATGTTATACCGCACACACAGGTCCATATAAGCTATAGGATGTCCTAAAAAGAAGTAGGGACATATCTTCAGCTTGTGTGAGTGTGTGGTAATCTTTATAAATGTGAAAACTGAATTTGAATCTAGACAAATAAAATTGAAAGAAATGAACAAGAATATTCCTTTGTTTATAATTACTTGGTGTCTCTATAGCAACATGGAGAATGCAAGGGGAAATGATAGAAGTGAATCTTCAAAGGCTCGCATGAGCCAAATGGAACAGATGTTTGTGGCTTTGACTGAAGCCATGACGTAGCAACTAAGACAACAACCTTTGCCTCCTCCGCCTCCGCTAGTACTAGTTGAACCAGACAATAGTGACATCATCAATTTGACTCAAAAATTTATGAAAATGAAATTGTCGACCTTCTTGGGTGGCATTGAACCATTGAAGGCAGAAACCTGGTTGCTAGAAATGGAAAAGTTATTTGAGGTGTTCCCTTCTTCCGTAACTCAGAAGGTGCTCTTGGCCACTTACACCTTAAAGGATGAAGCCTGGAGATGGTGGCTATTGGTCCGAAATAACAATGGGGACATGACATGGGCTCATTTCAATGAGATATTCTACAATAAGTACTTTCCCCAATGCTTCAGAGACCGAAAAATGTTAGAATTCCAAGAACTCAAACAAGGCAGGATGTCAGTGGCTGAATATGAGGCCAAGTTTATTGAATTAGCTCGTTTTGTCGCACACATGGTGGACACCAACTATAAGAAAGCACGAAAGTTCGAGGAAGGACTAGACCTGGACATATTTGATCGAGTAGGCGTATTGAAGATTCCAACATACGTGAAAGTCCTTGATAGAGCCCTCATGGCTGAAGCCAACTTAGCCGCAAAGAAATAGACTAATGTTCTGACAACTGAATAGAGGGGTAAGAGATCAGGGTCTAATTTTAAAAGAGGACGATCATTCTGAAAGAAGCAAAACACTGGATCTTACAGTAGATCTAGCCAAAGTAGTAGATCTACACCGACTTGCCCAGAATGTGGTAGGAAACACAAGGGGATTTGTTATTGAGCGACGGGTGCTTGTATCAGGTGTGGTAAAACCGGCCATGTGATGAAAGATTGTCCAATCAGGATCGAAAATACCAACCGCCCAGTGACAAGTTCAGCTAGATCCGCTTTTGCATCAAGAATGAATATGAAAGCTAACACTAGGAAGGAAACCTTAGGGTAGGATCGAGTATTTACAGTTGTGCCTGGTGATGTGCAGAACACCGAATCTGTAGTGTCAGGTATAATCTCTATCTGTGCTTAGAATGCCTATGTGCAGATTGATTCTAGTTCCACGCATTCATTTGTATCGCTTTGAGCAGAAAGGTGGTTGGAAATTTGGCATGTTTAACCGCAATCTTAGTGGAGCCGACTATTGTTGAGGAAGTAAAGACAAGACAGACGGAGGATGAATTCTTGAAGAAGGTGGCCGAGGAGATTATCACAAAACCGAGATCAGGGTACACCATAGAAAATCAAGTGCTCAAGTTTGAAAGGAGATTATGTGTGGCGACATCCCAGATTTGAAAAGAAAAATTTTGCAGAAGGCTCATGGTTCTAAGTTTGCTGTCCACCCCGAGAACACCAAGATGTATCAGGATGTGAAGCAGACATTTTGGTGGTCAAATATGAAGTGAGAAATCGCTGAGTTCGTGTCTCAGTGTCTGTGTTGTCAACAAGTGAAAGCAGAACATCAAAGGCCAGCAGGACTCCTTCAACCTTTACCGATTCCTGAGTGGAAATGGGAGCACATCTCCATGAACTTCGTGGTTGGTTTGCCGAAGACACAAAAGGGTATGGATTCGATTTGGGTTATCGTGGATAGACCACCTTCAACGCCGATAAACTTGCTTTGTGATTCCTGAGTGGAAATGGGAGCACATCTCCATGGACTTCGTGGTTGGTTTGCCGAAGACACAAAAGGGTATGGATTCGATTTGGGTTATCGTGGATGGACTAACTAAGTCAGCACACTTCTTGCCTGTTAAGACCACCTTCAACGCCGATAAACTTGCTTTGTTGTATGTGAATGAAATTGTTAGACTTCATGGAGTGCTGATGTTAATTGTGTCGGACCGAGATTCGAAGTTAGTTTCCAGATTTTGGCAGAGCCTACAAAGAGCCTTCGGGGCCGAGTTGAGGTTTAGCACAGTTTTTCATCCCCAGACTGATGGACAAACAGAAAGGACGATCCAAACGCTTGAAGATATGCTTAGACTATGTGTATTGGACCTCCAAGGAAGTTGGGGAGTACATTTGCCTTTGGTGGAGTTTACCTACAACAACAGCTATCAGGTTAGCATTGGTATGGCGCCGTATGAGGCACTGTATGGAAGAAAGTGCAGGTCGCCGATATGTTGGACCGAAGTAGGAGACAAAGCTCTGCTTGGTCCCGAGTTAATTCAAGTAACAACCGAGAAGATTAAGCTCGTTCAACAAAGGATCAAAACCGCACAGAGTCGACAGAAGAGTTATGCCGACCAAAGAAGAAGAGAATTAGAATTTGAAGTCGGGGACCACGTGTTCCTCAAGATTTCGCCGATGAAAGGAGTTACAAGATTTGGGAAGAAGGGTAAGTTAGCACCCCGTTACATCGGGCCTTTTGAAATTCTTGAGAAGATTAACCTCGCCGCCTACAGACTTGCCTTGCCGCCAGGACTGAGCCAAGTCCATAATGTGTTTCATGTTTCGATGCTGAGGAAGTATATTCGAGATCCGCTACATGTGATCGACTATTTCGGAATTGTAATTAATGAAGATTTAGGCTACGAAGAGAAGCCGATACGGATTATCGATAGACAAGTGAAACAGTTGAGAAGCAAGCCGATACCAATGGTGAAAGTTGAATGGAAGGAGCATTATGGAGAGGATGCTACATGGGAAATGGAAGAGGAAATGAAGGTCCGATATCTAGAATTGTTTTTGGAACAAGGTAACTCAAGTTTGGGGACCAAACTTCTTTAAGGGGGGTAGGATGTAACAACCCTCATTTTGACTTAGTCATACTTGCTTACATTTATGGATGATCTTGTATTAATGTGTGCATTTGCGAATCTTGTCCTGTTTTGCTTGAATGATTGCTTGCATGCCTTGTTCTTGGCTGGTGTGTTGCCGAGGTCATCTTAAGTCTTGGCACCTTCGAGACCTTTGTCACTTAGAACTATCTTGGAATCCCGTTGGTTGACCTCCATCTTCGCCCTGGCATATTGGCCGAGATGTCACCATCTAGGCCGAGGTGCGCTTTGCCTAGGCCGAGTTGTGCACCATCTGGGCCGAGATGTTAATATCTAGGCGTTCGAGATCCTTGATCCTTGCATGAGTGATATTGTTCCTGGAATGGTATGACCTAGACCGAGGTGTGTCACACCTAGGCCAGGGCGTGGCACAGTTTAGTCAAGTGTTGTCCTTCCAAGCCGATATCTTTGCCCCTTAATTCCCGGAGTCTTGTTTTAGCCGATGTCATTTCTTGCCGGTGTGTTCATGCCGCCAAGCTTGCTGAGTATGCTTTGTCTTGGTCTTGTCTTGTCAAGTCAGTCACCTTTTTGAGTTGAGCAAATCAGTCGATGCCACGTGTCCCGACAGAGGGACTAAATCAGTGTTTGTCGTGTGTAGCTTATCATTTTGTTTCAATCTTGCCTTTTAGAGAGAGAAACTCTAGTGAGGAGGAGGAGAAGTTTGAGCTAGAGAGGGTGACTTCCAAGCTTGATCGTTAGAGCTTGAGCCGTTAGATTCAAGTTTTGAGGTTAGAATCTTAACCTATTCTTGTTGTTCTTATCCATCATCTAGCTGCATTGCACGATCAAACCTGTTTTACACACCATTCATCGATTTAAAGTTGGTTTTAGAAAGAGAAAACGGTTTTCATGTGTTTTTGAAGAAAAGCCTCGTTTGATCCGAAAGTTTGCATCGAAGCTCATGCATTTGTGTTTGTTTTGATAAGATCCTTGAGTATGGGCACCCAGGTCCCCGTTTTCGTAGTTGTGGCATGAAATCTCAGCTTTTGTATAGCAAGTTTGATCTTTGCATTCATCTTCCTCATGTTCATGTTCTTCAAGATTCTTCAAGCTCATGTTCTTCATGTTTATCAAGAGGGAAACCCAGATTTTTCCCGACTTCACTCTTGAATGTGGCCATCGAGGCTACACCCCGGCAAGGAGGTGTGGGACCTCGGCCTGGACCTGGTAGCTGCCCAGCATGTTTTTCCAAGGATAAGAAACTGTGTTTCAACTTGATTGGCTTAGTTTTTGAAAAAATGCCGAGGTCATTTGCATGTAAGCTAGACTTGTTTTGAGTAGTGCATTCAATAGACATTGCCATGTGTTGTAGGACTTGGACTTGCCATGACCCCGACGTTTGAAGAACTAGGTGAGTGGTATTTTTAATAAAGCTATGTTATACGTTTTGATAAAGACTTTGCTTTGCTTTGCTTTGTTTTGAAAGTGTTTGTTAAGTATGAATAATTGTCCCTGTTTTGTATATCAAGTATGATCTTGTCTTGATGACCTTCTCGGAAAGTCCCTTGTGCTGGAGGACTCTAAACTTTCACAGCACATCTCGTTTTGGAAGTCCCTTATGCTGGAGGACTCTAAACTTTCGCAGCACATCTTGTCTTGAAAGTCCCTTGTACTGGAGGACTCTAAACTTTCGCAGCACTCTCGTGTTAAAAAGGCTACGGGCCTTTGTAACATAGGTCCCTTGTGCTAGAGGACCCTAAACTTTTGTAGCACCCTTGTTTGAGATGCCCCTCTTGCTTGTCTTGTTTTGCCACTGACGGTTTACCGCGTGGATATGTTTGCCGGAATGTTATCATTTGTAAAATGTGATACTAGTAAGTATCCCTTGAAGCTTTGTCAGATGGACGAGGTCCATCCCTTGTTATCTAAAGTTTTGACTTGTATTGTTTTGAAAGGACTTCGGCTATTATTCATGCGAACCCCTTTATTATTTATACCATTCACTGAGTATCCAAGCTCACCCTCTCTATATATATGTAGGTGATGAACAAGAAGGCGGTGACGCCTAGATGTGATTC